CTAGACGTTTCTAGCTTCCCTTTTAGATGTTTTGTGAGTAAGCCTGACCTTAACAATATTTATAAACACACACACACATAGAGAGAGAGAGTGTGTCTACTATTGATATAAAATTATATATATAATTTTTTTTATAATATAATATAAAATTTGAATTACATGTTTAAATAGAATTTTGCCAAAAATATGAATTTATTATTCTACATTTTGAAAAATTCATGAACCTTTGTAATGCCGAATGGAGGAAGGTGAATTTTACCTTGTAATTTTCCCATAAAATAATGCTACAACAGAAATATTACATATTATTTATTTCTATTTTTAATTGGCACATTAACACTTTTGTCATCCTGCGATCATTGCAGCATCTGCCGGGGCAATGATAATAGATGTTAGAAGAGGGTTTAAAATCCCAGTAGTAAATTCCACACTCCAGCAGTGATTTTAACACACTGTCACTGTTCTCTCCAGGTGTGAATTACACCTATTTCTGTACCTCTGCACGTGACCCAGCAGTTCAGAGTGCTATGATCAGGAGATTTGTCTCTCGCACGTCAACTCTGAGAGATTTATGTACATCCCGGGCCGTCTGGCCTTTCTAAAGTCAGCTAAGAGCAGATGTCCTGTTCCTCACTGATAAAAGAATGTGTTAAGAGCAGAGAACTTGATCAAACTCACCCAGGGTTACCAGCCTGTAAGCAGGGATTCTCTGATTTATTACTGCAGAGGAACATGACGTTCCTATCAAGGCTTACGTAATATGGCTTTCCTAATGAATAACCACTTTTGACCAGCCAACTTGGTCATCAGCCGATATTATTAGACATTTTTATATATATCATTATCGGACGATGTTGACATTTCCCCTATTTTTTATGTTTAAATTACCATTGTCATCATCTAATATTTACTTTAAGTTAACCTTTAAAAACACTACTAATTTATTAACACTTAACTGGTAAAACTGTAATTTTAGCAAATCTCAAAATAAATATATTTATTTTCATACATTTTCATTCATGTTGTGAAGCCTAATTTCACTTGTAGCACTTAAAACCACTGTTTTAGTTTTTTTTTTGTTTGTTTGTGTTTAAGACAAAATAGTGTAGAATTTTAAAACAAAATTAGTTTATTCTTAAATTATAATGTTGTGATGCTTGATTTGAGTTTTAAGTGTTTTTTATAAGACAAAATAGTATAAATAGACAAAATAAAATAACATTAATATCAGCCATTTTTTTATTTATTTTTATACTAGAATATGCCACAATAGCTTGTAGCATTTATCTGGAGGTTGCCTTGTGATGCCTAAATACACTTGTAACATTTGAAACAACTAATTTTAGTTTTTAGAGGTTTTATTTAATTTATTTATTTAGTCAAAGTAGTATAACATATTAATATCAGCCGTTTTTATTTATTTTTATATTAGAATTTTGTGATGCCTAACAACTGCAGCATTTAAAACAACACATTTTTGTTTTTAGTATTTTATTTAGACAAAATAGTAAAAACAAATATTTGTATTGATTCATTTTATTGATGCCTTGTAGCATTTAAAACAAACCAAAATATGAGCAATAGCAATCGTTTAGCACTCATTTTGTCTGATATGCAATTACGGTACGGCTATTTAATGCAAGTCAGGTGTGTTTAGATCAGTAAAATGCAAATAAGGATCAGGCTTGCAAATTATTTTCAACGATACTTCATGGAATCTGAATTTGCATAATCAAATGAGTGGAACAGATCCTGCCAGAGTGACACGACACAAAAACACTGATTCCCGCAAACAGGAAACAATAACAGAGCCACGGCTCTGGGAATCCCATCAGGATAGACATGAAGGGTGTGTCCTGGCACAGCTGTCCCCTGGGGTGTGGGAGGCAGCTGTCCCACCTGAACAGAGCCAGCAGTGTTCCTGTAAAAGTGTTGATCAGCAGAGCTGGCTCGTCTGGGTCTCCTTGTGCAGTTGAAACAAATTCAGTGTGTGAATGAGCCGTGTTGTCATAGGCAGAGACAGGCGGCACAATGGAGAGCTGCTCAACCTCAGTACCGGCAGCCGGTACAAAGAACAGTCCTTCAGTACGCGCTGATAACTGGAGCCATTCAATCGAGCATCACTCGGAAACACTCTAAAACACTAATTATATTCTGGGAAAGCACAACTCATGGATGTCGCCTTCTCCAGTAGGTCAGTGTGAAGATAACAGCCTGTAAGCGACATGAAGTTAACCCTGGATCCTAAACAGATGCTACTCAGTGAAGCAGCGAGCGATCATTTTTTGTTCTATTAGTCTCAGCAACCAGGTTTTGTTTTGCATTATGTAAAAGCAGCCCTGCCCATAGTAAAATTTCATTGGTCTAAAACCCAAAAATCAAATACTTCCTTATAAATTGTGATTTTGTAAATTTAACTCTGTAAACTATTGGAACTCATGTCATATGATTCTAATCTTCCTCAGTCATGTTTGATGTTTTACATAGATGAGGAGCAGTAATTCGGTCCAATGAGTTTGTAGTGTGGGCGGGGCTACTGTCGCAACTTCCGCTGGTCTAAATTCATCTAATTTAAAGCACTACAGCTACAGCCATGAAAAAACTGCTTATCGAAAAAAATACAGGCTTCGTCAATACATTTTGAAATTTTCAAATGTCAAATACATTTTATTTTTTAAATCTTTTTAATAATAAATGTGTAATATTTATTAATAATACTTAATTTTATTTTTAATTTCAAAATAATACTGTTTTTAATATTAAAATCTCGATAAAAAAATAGTTTTAAATCCAATATTTTTGTTTCATTTTTAGCAGCAAAGCATGGCACAGCTATGGAACAAATTTACTGGCTTCAACAATACATTTTTAAAATTCAAATGTCAAGTAATTTTTTAATAACAATTTTTTATTAACAATATTGAATATTATTTTTATATTAAAATAATACCGTTTTAAACAAAATATTAAGAGCATATAGTTTTAATAGCAAGTTTTTTATTTATTTTATTTTTAGCAGCAAATCATGGTCGCTACAGTCATGGAAAGAGTGCTTGTGCAAACAAATTCAATGCCTTCAAGATTTTTTTAAATACAAAATTTAGTTTTATTTCTCCATTTAATATTAAATATGTAATATTTATTTAGAATATGTAACATTAATTTACTATAAAATATACATTTTTAATATTAAAATATTAATACTAAATTGTATTTTATTTATTTATTTTTTGACAGCAAAGCATGGCTGCTAAATATATTACTATTATACAAGTATAAGAAAACTAAAACTAAACTAAATAAATAAATACAGGTTAAGACCTCAGGAAAAAATATGTCACTTGCTGGACTTCTAGTTGACCATCCTCCTGCCTAGAGCCCTGCATTTCAGCCCGGGCCCGATGGGCCCCGACTTTTTTACGCCCCTCGGGTCGGGCTTCGGGACAATTTTCACGTCATAGTTCAAACGCGGGCCGGGCCTCGGGCCTGTTTTAGGCTTCTCCTTATTTTTATATTTTAGACATCCATCAATTAGTGATAAAAAAAATTGCCACGCTGGTGGAAACAACACGGGACCGTGCTAGCGGCTCGACGGTGTTTAGTGTCCAGCAGCAGCAGCATGCGTGCCGTCACCGCAGCTGAAGAGTTCTGCGTTCAAATGCACGCAATAGGCTTAAGAAGCACCGGCAAAAGTAATTACCATAAATGTGACGGGGGGAAATAGTAGGGAGATATTTGAGTTATTTACTAATAAACTAGTGTTTTCTGAGTCAGTGTCGCAAGGATGAAGTTGCCGATCCTGACTCGCCATCTCCTCATTAGACGCGCCTTTAGAGAGAAGTGCATCTTTACGGATTATGATTATAATGAAAGAGTTTTTGTTTTGTTTTATTTCGTTAAGTAGTCATTTAAAGCTTTCTATAGATATATTTATCATGTCTGTGAGGCAAGTATTCGCTGAGTTTCGGTTCATTTTTGTGAAGCGCTCCTGTTCAAGACGAGACAGCAGAAAGCCGTTTTTTTTCTTTATTTTATAAAAGCACAATGTTTTGCTGATATTGTGAGTGCACACAAATAAAAGTAGACCCTTTACAGCTACGGATGATGTATTACTCTTACCTTTATGAGCAAAAATGACGGCGTAGGCTATCCACTGAAAAAAATGCAAGTGATCGAGCTGGCGCCTCTATGTCCAGCAAAGCGTCTCCGCACAAACTATTGGATATAGCGCACATTTATCTAGGTTTAACGTTTAAACATTGTTATATGCTTGAACTGTTTTATATCTTTAGATTTTATTTTAGGCAAGTCGTGATGATTTGAGAAGGCTAAATTGATCAAACATACAGTAGGCTCACTGTCTGCTGCTGGCTGCTTGGTCGTTACTTTAAAAAAACAAAAACGTATATTTAGCGAACAAAAAATGCTCCAAACGTTTTTTTTTTATTAACTTCATAAAGAAACTAAACGAAATATAATCACTTTGCTATTACATACAAAACTGAACTATTTTAATAGCTGAAACAGAAGGGGAAAAAAAGTCGGGCTTGGGCCGGTAATTCTGATAAGCTGTCGGAAACGGGCCGGGCTAGGGCCTGAGCGTCTCGGGGCAGGGCCGGACTAGGGCCTAAATTTGAGGCCCGTGCAGGGCTCTACTCCTGCCCTATCCCTAGTCAGTACATTGAATCAGGACTCTCTTCAAATTTCACTCAGCACTTGAAGACATAGAGACACTCAACATCTCTAAAAATGGAAACAAACTACCTACTCTCAGTTCCATTCTAAAAGACACACTCTCTTTTTAAGCATGATCAACATATATCATGTATCAAATGTGTCACCTATAGATAAAGCCGAGTACATTCCCTGTATCAGATGGATGCGCAGATGTGCTCTAGAGATTTGCTGACTGTAATCCAATCAGACTGCGGCCACATCACGAGACGGGATGAGATGATGAATGACAGAGGCGAGGCAGTAAAGAGGCTGAGATCACTTACCCAGACCGGAGGCGTAAATGGCCTTAACTGACTTCTTCATCTTGTAAAGGACACTGCGGTCCACATCCAGGGCCTAAACACAGACACAGAAAGAAACCGAGAGATATAATATGTGTATCCCAAAGCCTTTAGGACAGTAAAACAGATGCACATTAACATCAGCACTACTGATTATCAGACCCTTAATTATCTTTAGGTCACGCTCAAATATGAATCTCACACATACACAGACTTTTAGGTGTGTGTGTGTGTGTGTGTGTTCACGGGGGGCAGACCCTGCTGTCTTAGGTGTGCGTGTGTGTGTTCACGGGGGGCAGACCCTGCTGTCTTCAGTCTGCAGGTGATTCATTATTCAAAAGCAAGCCCCTAAAAATACTCCAAAACAATCCCTGCACTGCAGGAGCAGCGGAAGTCGGCAGGCAGGACTGCACAGCTGAATCTGTACACATTCACGAAACAAAACTCCCCAGGAGCACCGCAGGATGCAACACACACACACACACACACAGAGCAGTATGACATTCAATAAGAGTGCAAAGCATAAGCAAGAAAATGACACGCATTAAAACCTAAGTCTGAGTCAGGGTGTTGTTATTGTATACAGTTATTGTATGCAGCCCTACAAACAAGTGCAGCAAACCTGGAGGTAGGGGTGTGCGATAATGATATAAAATGATATCTTGATATTTTCTGGAATTTTGTCGATAACGATTATTAGACAAAATTTTGCAGAGCGTGTTATTGTGCTGGTACCTTGGCAGGTTTAGGACTGCCGTGGACAGCTGACACCCAAAGCTTCTGATATTCTTCATATTCTGTGAGCTGGCTAGTTTGTAGGAGTAACAGAAATTTACTTTTAAGCTTAAATGGATTTTTACCTTTTATGGGCTTTTTTACCTTTATAAGGCCAGTTTTTTCTAACCTAATTAAATGCATGCATCATCTTTTATGTCAAATTCTTAAATTTAATCAAATTCAAATAGTAATCTTAAAGAAAAGTAAACAGTATCAACAAAATTTGAGTTTCCACTGCAGAGGTGGCATTTACATGCATTTACACAGACTGTTTAATGCAGGACATGAATGCATTTGACCTGCAGTTACAAATGCATAATGTTTTGATTTATTATTTTGATGTTTTGATGAATTAATTATTTTGATTAAACAAACGTTGAATACTGATATTTGAAATGTTTTGGGGAAAAAAGGGAAAATATATTTTAAATATAAACCTAAAATCGCCAGTAGGTGGCAGCAAATCACGGCATGAGTGAGCCATTGAGTCATTCATTCAACCAATTTGTTCAAACAACTGTTGTGTCTAAAATGTAAGTCACTTAATATTAACTTCTTATTTATTGAACTGTTCATCAAATCAATATCACATCTGCAATCGGGCTGATATTTGGAGAAAAAAAAATTCTTCGTGTGATAATAACTATGTCAGATGATATAAATATAAAAGGCACATAAAAGTCTGCATATCTTTAAACAACAATTGCGATATTATCATAGATGATATAGATCGCATACCCCTACTGAGGTTTATTAAAACACACAACCACACACACACATTTTTGCCTTTTAAAAATCACAAAAACAAACAATTGCGATTAGATTTTTTTCTCAAATCATGTAGCCCTAATAGAATACCATTTAGTACCACAGCAGGGTGAAACACAACAAAAAAAATCTGATATAAATCGAAATTTTGCATCAAGCATTAAAAAGGGAAATAGCATCAGTTCCTCTACTGAAGCAGCCCAGCTCAGATGTGGTCGACCGATCACATATCCTCTACAATCATCTCTCAGTACTAGGGGTGTAAGAAAATATTGATACACGTATCACGATATTTTGTTTGGCGATACTGTATCGATTCTCAAAAATGGAATATCGATATAAAAAAAAAAAAAATCATACAAGATTCATGGCAGCTGTTTTGTTTTGAGATTATATTCCGACCACTAGATGGCAGTCTTCATCTCTGAACTTAAACAGTGGCAGGAAATACTAGCATTAGGGCACGCCCCTATTGTTAGCGTTAATATAGTTTGCTGCAAGTAATGGAGGATGAAAGAATTGTTGCAGTTCCTGTTTCGGTGTACAAAGCTGAAGTGTGGCATCATTTGAGCTTTTTTTGGTAACGTCCACGGGGCGCCGCCTTGGTTTCGCCACATGCCGCGTCCCGTGTGAAGAGCCTCGTGCGGGGTGCGGCAGGCGGTAGGGTCGTTGGTGTGTTGGGGGCGTTTTGTGCAGTTGGGGCGGTGCTCGCGTCACGGTCTCGGCGATTCCACGAGGAACATAAATACAAACTGAAAAACCTGTGAAATCCAAGTGGAAAGGTTCTGAGAATGTTGAACATCTGTATTTATTTTATTGTTTTACAATTGTTTGGTTTTCTTTATGAATCCTGCAAGCACTTTATTTTTCATTGATATTAAGCAGATGTAATTCTTTTGTTCAGATCAAAATGTTATGACATTGTATGTTACTATTGTAAATTTAAACAGTGAACCTTTAAAGCAGGGTCTAAAAATATATATATGGTCTTTTCTTTTTATAAAATACATTTTCTACTTATACATTTAACTAAAGGATCCTGCAAGCACTTTAATTTTTCCCCCTACTCATACTGCACAAAAAGTGGTTCAATAACGTTGAATGTTACAGGGGCTGATTATTGCAAATGCAGATCCCACCATGTTCTGGTTAAATAATTTTTTTTTATTTATTGCTAAGGTTTGTATATGGTGGTGTGTTCTTAATGACAGCTTTCCTAGAAATATATCCAATTCCTAAAATAAGAAATATCCCAATATATCGCCTTGCTTACAGTATCGCAATGTATCGCAACATATTGTATCGCAACCTCTGTATCGTGATATGTATCATATCGCCAGATTCTTGCCAATACACAGCCCTGCTCAGTACCTCCATGCTGTTTACAAAGCCTCAAACCTCCAGATAAATCTAATGAAACTCTGGCCTCAACATCCTCGGCTGTTCACAGGAGCCTCCGCTGCTCCCAAAATGGAAGAATGTAAATCCTGCCTTTATTAAAAATGCTGTGTAATATTTATTTTACAAACATGTTGTAGGGAAGTTTTCTAGATGCTCGTCTGACAGCTGACTGTGTTTTATTTAGCTGAGTGTTCAGTTTCAGAGCGGTAGGTAGACTGACAACGCTTTTACTCATGACAGCGAGTGAGCCGGACTCTGAACCACCAAAACCAAGACGCCTGACAAAGCAAAAGGAGAGTTTACTAAGAAAACAGTAGTTATTAATAAACCAAATTATTTCATAGAAATAGAAAGAAATTCACATTAACACCACCATAGTTTCATGAGTCTTTTACATAATTTCATCCTTTTATAATATTTTTCTTAGTTATCTTTGAAAAGGATTACACTTCAACACACGAAAATAATGAATGTTTTTTTTTTTTTTATTAAATCCTGCCAGAGTTATTGAGGGAGTGAGTGAGATGTGACCTAAATTTGACTTGTCAAATAGGGAAGCAGTTTCACGCCAGGCTTTAGACCTCAGTGTCCTACCGAGTAGTGTAAAAAAACTATTTAAAAACCTAATTTACCTTTCACTTCACAGTGTGTCTTTGTTTCACACAGAGATCTACTATATAACTCTTTCATTGAAGTGACATGAGAATTGTAGGAGAAACAGGACTTTATTACAGGATTCATAAGTTGATTACTTGTATTAGGTACTAATCCCAGTGACTAGTTAAGCATCAACCACCTGTCTCTTCATAACACTTCAATGCATGCTCCAAAACTTTAGAAATATAATAAGAGTCTGATGTTAGAATGCTGCAAACTCTAACAGCTATATTTTCTAACAGTCATATTTTGATCAATACACACAATTATCGATCAAAAGTGACAGTAAGACATTTATATTATTAAAAAAAGGTTTATATTCCAAATAAATGCTGTTCTTCAGACTTTCAAAAATTCAATCACAGTTTCCACAAAAATATTAAGCAGCACTACGGTTTTCAACATTGAAAATAATCATTTTTAAAAAATGTTCATTGAGCACCGAATCACCACATTAGAATGATTTCTGATGAATCAGGTGACACTGAAAATTCAGCTTTGCCATCACAGAAATAAATAATATATTAAAAATAAAATATATAAAAGTGAAATAAAATAAAATATATTAAAATAGAAAACAATTATTTTAAATTGTAATAATATTTCACAATATTTCTGTTTTTAGTGTATTTTGATCAAATAAATGCAGCCATGGAGAACATAAAGATACTTTTTTTCAAAAACATAAAAAAAAAACTCTTATGACACCATTTTTAAATGGTAGTATATAATTCATATTAAAAAAATTAAATAACTATTTTACTTTTTCTTTTTTTTGGAGGGGGGGGGGG